GTGCCGGTTTCACCACACAGTTTCCAGCAGAGGTTATTGTATATTCGGTTCATTGCCTTTAGGCGGAGGGGTGTTAGATACCACCTGAAGAGCATTTTATAAGCTTGCTCTTTGTGGGTGACGCAGATTGAGATGGATTTGATGGATGCCCATATGTCTGCCCAATCGGTGGGATCTTCAAGGGGCCCCAGGTCACCCTCCCATGCTGCTATGTATGGGAGGGCCACCTGAGTGTGGTGTGTGGTTAATGTTATGTTTTGGTTTGATATTTGGCTCTTTCTGGCTGGTGAGCAGAGGGTGTCCCTCTCGAACCCAGTCAGGGTCGAGGTGGCTGCCATGCGAACCGTGTCCATTGCTGCGAAGCTTTGGAGTTGGAGGTATCGGAAGTAGTTGTAGGTGGTTAAGGATTCGGGGTTGGGGATTTCCGAGTAGTGTAGGAGCTTGCCATTGGGATAGAGGTGTCTTAGTCTAACTATGTCTCTGTCTTCGAAGTGGGCATAGTGTCGTGGTGTGAGGCCTGGTGGGAACATTTTGTTGCAGAGGATCGGTGTGAGGGGCGATAGGCCCGTGGAGAGGTCGAACTTATCGCTGAGGCGATCCCAGAGATCTAGGGAGTGGGTGATCGTTGGTGATGTGGGAGGTGGAAGCGGTCTGTGTGGTTTTGGGATCCACGTGTATTGAGAGGGATGGTCCCTACCGAAGATGAGGTGTTCCAGGTCTACCCATCGTTTGTGAGTGAGGGGGAGGTGCCAGTGTTATATTTGTGTTAGGTGGGCTGCATGTAGGTCGTATGTGAGGTTAGGGAGGCCTAGTCCTCCGGAGGGCTTGGGTACGTATAGTGTGGATCTGCGGACTCGGGGTATCTTAACATTCCAGATGAATCGGTCTATGGCTGTTTGCAAGTGTTTGAGGTCATTTTTTTTGCAGGGGGTGGGTAGCGCTTGGAAGGCATAGAGGAATTTGGGTAGGAGATTCATTTTGACCGACGCTATTCTTCCGAGCCAGGAGATGGTCATCGGTTTCCAGCGTTCTAGGTCCAGGTATGCTTTATGCAGGGGGGGGGGCTAGTTGGCTGTGTAGAGCGTGGTGGTATCGTTGGTAATTTGGATGCCTAGGTATGTGATCGCTGTTGGGCAGATATGGAAGGGGAAGTTACTTCTCAAGGTGGAGGTAGTGGTGTTATTGAGGTTAAGCGGCATGAGGTCTGATTTTGTGGCATTTAGTTGGTATCACGAAATTGTTGAGTAGTCTTGTAGGGTTGACATGAGGGCAATTAAGGTTGGGATGGGGTTAGTTAGGGTCAGGAGGATGTCATCTGCATATGCAGCGACGGTGAATGTTTCGTCCCTTATCCTGAGTCCTTCTATTTGTGGGTTGTTCCGTATGGTCTCCAGGAAGGGTTCGAGGGAAATGGTGAATAAGAGGGGGGAGAGGGGGCATCCTTGACGGGTGCCGTTTAGTATCGGGAAGGGGGGGTGATGTTGGGGATTAGTAGTTGTTCAGTCAGCATGTGATACATGGCTTTCAAAAATTGAGTGAATTCTGGTGGGAATCCAAATTTGTGGAGTACTGCGTAAAGGTAGGGCCAGAGGAGGCGATCAAACGTATTTTCGGCGTCCAGGGAAAGTATTATCGCTGGGAGGCGTTTTTGGTTGGCATACCAAATTATGTCTATGGTTCTCCGTGTGTTGTCTTGTGCTTGTCTTTGCGGTATAAAGCCTACCTGGTCTGGGTTAATGAGTTTCGGTAGGAAGGGGTTAAGTCTAGTTGTCATTACTTTGGTCAGTATTTTTAGGTCAATGTTTAGGAGGGAAATGGGTAGTAGCCTGGTTCGTCGTGGGATTTTCCTGACTTGGGTAAGAGGGTGATGTTGGCTTGTGTCATATCGGCGGGTAGTGGGTCTCCTTTTAGCATTGCATTAAAGACTTTGCATAGTCTGGGAGTAAGTATGTAGCAAAGGATTTATAATAAATGGCCGTTATTGCTGCCAATATTTCCTCTGGGGAGATGTCTGCTGCGATCATTGATCTGGCTTCTTCGGTGAGGGAGGGAAGGGAGAGCTTCCTAAGGAAGTTATCCATTTGGGAATGGATTAAGTCAGCTGGGGGGTCTGGGGTATGGTTGTATAGAGATGTGAAGTAGTGTCGGAAGGCTTCACCTATCGTGTGTGGGGTGTCACTCATTGTGCCATCTGAGGTGCGAATTTTGGAGATTCATTTTGTTTCAGTCAGGTTTTTGAGGCGTTTTGATAACATAGAGTCTGCCTTGTTGCTTTTCTCGTAGTATTTTTGTTTGGTCCATGTTAGTGCTTTAGTTGTGGCTGTGAGAGAAAGGCTTTTGAGTAAGGGCCTGGCTGTTCAAGGTGTAAGGGGGTCGGGTTGCGTTTGTGTAGGGTTTCCAGTCGGCCTATTTCGGTTATGGTTTCCATTAATAGTTTGTTGTGTTGCTTTTTGCGTGCTGTCGCTATAGCTATCAATTTGCCTCTTATAACCGGTTTATGGGCCGCCCACAAAGTGATTGGGGAGGATACAGATGGGTCGTTCAGGGTGAAGTACTCTTTGATGTCTTTTGTGATGGATATGGTCACTAGTTTGTCTTGGAGAAGTTGTGAGTTGAGTTTCCATGTCCATGGGCGTGTCATGTTGGGGATGGAGAGGGTTATGGAGATGTCGGCATGGTCCGACCAGGTGATGTGACCTATGGAGGTGTGTGTGATTCGCGAGGTAACATTTGGGGAGACCAGAAAGTAGTCGATGTGGGAGTAGGTGTTGTGGGGGTGGGAGTAGTATGTGTAGTGAGGGTTGAAGGGTGTTGGGCTCTCCAGATATCTAGTAGGGTGTGTGTGCTTAGGAAGTTGGAGAAGAGGGTGTCGTTTGGAGAGGGTCGCGGTTCGCTTTGGGGCCTGGCGGTGCGATCTAAGGTTGGTTGGTGAGTGGCATTGCAATTGCCTCCTATGATAGTGAATGTGGCGTTGTGTGCTGTTAGGTGGGCGGAAAACGTTTGCCAGAACAGTGAGTCAGGGGTCATAGGGGCGTATAGGGAGGAGATGGAGTAGGTTGTGGGGCCTATTCTGCCTGTGAGCGTTATGTATCTCCCTTGTTTGTCCGGGAAGGCCTGTACATCGGTCAGCGGGCATGATGATTTGAGTATGATGGCCACCCCTTTGGTTTTTGTGTCTAGCGAGTTAGCGAGGAAGGTGTGGTTGTAGTGTTTGTTCTTGATTGGGAAGTGTTTATGGGGAGTGAAGTGGGTTTCTTGTATCATGAGGATGTCTGCTTTTTGGCTGTGAGCCCAGCGTAGTAGGGAGTGTAGTTTTTTGGGGTTATTGAGGCCTTTTGCGTTAATGGAAACACAGTGTAGTTTGAGTGGCATGATCCGGGATGGGTTAGCCGTATGCTGTGTCGTGTGGAGGGGGTGTACTAGGGTTCAGGGGGGTTTCGGAGCCCAGGTGGTCCCCAGAGGGCAGCAGTGGGACTTAGTGGGTCGGGTGAAGTAGGATAGAGGGTGGGTATGCTGGGCTTATGTTGGTTGCCAGCAAGGGTGGACTGTGTTGCCAGTGGTCTCTCGGGCCTAGAGGGTCCAAGACCAGCAGCACGGATCAGGTCGCGGGGGGAGAAGTGGTCGTCTACTTAGGAGCAGGTGGCAGGCAGTTTTCTGTTTGGGCAGTTGTAACTTATTACAGAACCTGGGTAGGTTGAACTTAGGATGCAACATGTGAGGGTCAGGGTATCCCCGATCCTTGTCCCACCCCCCAGCGTCCGAGGCCGGGGGGGGTGAGGGTGCGGTTCTAGGTGCTGTTGGGGAATAAGGAGGGGGCTGGTCTCCAGAGTCCCGCTTGAACTATTTACATGAATGACTGTGTCGCACCGCACCCCATGTCGTCATCAGGTCGTGTTGAGTGGTGTGTTATTAAGTCTATTGGCGTGGGTGTGTTTGGTGTGGTGCATGGACCGGGCCTCAGTAGGTTCGGCCCCGTTATGGGATACTGTCAGGCACACCAAGAGTAATTATGAACTATGTATTTTCAGAGTTCACCCTCCCGGTCTCGGGGCCGTCACGGCCCGCTGCCCCCCCCGCCCCATTGAGGGGGGGAGGGGAGGAAGGCCGCCAGGGCCCCGAGCCGTCCGTCCCCCCCCTGCATTCCATCCCCAGATACCGGGCGCTCCCACTGTGCTTGGTGATAGTACTTCGGCCCTGGCCGGCCATCCTGTGACTCTTGGGGGTGCCCCATCCCCCCCCGGACCGGGACCATCGTAGCCCACCGCTGGAGGGGGAGGGGGGAAGGCCGCCAGAGCCCCAGACCGCCCGCCCCCCCGTCCCTCTGACCCGAGTGCAAAGCCCAGGGTGTCCCCGGTTTTGCGGATAGTCACAGAATTAGGGGCCCAGTCCCGAGCGACTCCCAGAGTGCACTCCCCCCCCCCCGGGGCCCGGGGCTGCCGCCCCCCCCACCCCATGGAAAGAGGGGGGGGGGGCCGCCAGGGCCCCCGATAACCCCCCCTCCCCACCACCCAACCCCGAGCATTAAACACAGAGTGTCCCTTTTTGGTTCTTACGGTTTGCCCAGTGTCAATTGAGTTCGTGTGGCTCTTTGTCTTTTGAGCAGAGGGGCGAACAGCATTCGGGGAGGCCCCCTCCAAATGCGACTGTGTTGCAGTGTTCCTTGGTTTGTCGTGTGGTCTCGCTGGGGAACATCCGGCTCGTGGCCAGGCGCAGGGGAGCCCGGTTGATCGCTGTGGTCAGTGGTGGTCGTCAGGAGGGGCCCGTCCTGTCGAGGAGATCCCCGGCAGCGTCCCGGGCCCCGCAGAGGCTGAGGAGCAGGCGGGAGGCGAGAGGGCGCCCCCCTTCTTTCATGGGGGTCTGTGGTTTGATTGGCAGTCTATGTTCTTCTGGTGCGTTGCTCTCTATGTCATCTGGATCTGTGGGTGTCTGGATGTACTGTGGTGTAGAGCTTTTAAGCTGTAGGAGAGGTAGGGGCGCAGCAACGGCTCAGGTCATTGGGGTTAGGCGTGGGACTGTGAGGAGTGTTGTCCTTTGTTGCGGTCTCTTTGAGGCTGCGGGTCCCTCAGTCGGTGTTGTGGCATAGGCTGTTGTGAGGCTGCGTTCAGATCTCCGTTGAGGTCGTGGATGCCTAGTTGCACAGCAAAGTCTTGGGCCTCTGACGGTTTAGTTAGCGTGAATGTGCGGTTGTTGTGACGTGCCGTTAGATTAAAGGGATGACCCCAGGAGTAGCGTATCCTCTGTGCTTGTAGGGCTTGGGTCAATGGTTTCAGCTCCCTCCGTTTTCGCAGGGTGGTGGGTGCTAGATCATGATATAGTTGTACCGTATGACCTTGCATTTGTAGTGGGGTCTCCCTTGTCGCCCGCATTATCGCCTCCTTAACGTGGAAGTAATGACAGCGGATGATGATGTCTCGAGGTTGCGTGGGACTCGAGGAGGGCGGACGGAGGGCCCTGTGGGCTCTGTCCAGGAGGAGGTCTGATGGTGGGGCGTCAGGTAGTAGGCTGCTGAAGGCTTTGTGGAGCATAGTGGTGAGTACTTCTGGCGTTGAGGATTCTGGTAACCCCCTGATGCGAATGTTATTACGCCTGGACCTGTTATTTAGGTCCTCTTGCATGTCTTCCAAGTATGTTATTTGTCCCCGTAGTTCTTTTATGGAGGCCTCGTGGGTGGAGGTGGTGGCCGTTACCTCCTCCATTTTGTTTTCCATTGCTTGTGTTCATTTGGAGAGATCTGTGAGCCCTTCTTTGAGTGGGGCTAGGTGTTTAGTTAGCTCCTCTGCCACTAGTGATTTCATCTCTGTCAGCATATCTTTCAGGTCTCTTTTAGTGAGGGGTGCTGATGTGTCCATTTTGTGGATGGTTGTGCTGGTCTCAGAGTCGGAGTCTGAGGCCTGCTGGCTGTGCGTGCATGGCGCCTCTTTGTCTGGCCTGGGTTTGAAAATCGGAGCCACGGCCGTTCCAGTCTTAGATTTCCTCCCTTCGCCTATTCTGTTGCAATCCGGTGTGGTGGGTGGTTGGTGTGCTCGGTCTGTTGCTGGTTATAGCGGGCTTGATTGCCCCCACTGTGAGCTTTTATTTATTGCCGCCACAGAGCTCCTTTAGTTCGCGGCCATCTTCGTCGGCGGTCAAGCTCCGCCCCCCCCGTCTACGTGTATATTTATGAAATTATTTATGTAATTTTGTATATGGATATATTTATATTTCGTACTATTTTGATTTATTTATATATACATAGAAGTATATATAATTTCATTCTAAGTGTACTTTGATGTAAATATATATATATATATATATATAAATATCAAAATACAGTTAGAATAAAATTTGATTTATATATATAATTTTTTAAAATATATAATATACGTATATATTAATATAAAAATACACTTAGTATGACATTATATATATATATATATATATATATATGATATATAGACGTATATTATATGAATATAATATATATATATATATATATATATATATATATATACACACACACATTTAATTATATTTTTTATTAACATTTTTGTTTATTTGATTTTACAGCAGCAGGCAGACTGCCTGTCAGCACAGATAGTCCCCTTGCAGGCAGATACATGGACACCTATTGTGACCATGTGATTGCTCTGTTGAGTGGCCACATGGCCCGCGGGGTCCTAATCTGCCACGGGGAGACTGCCTGGGCTGCAGGCCCGTGTGGCAGTTCGGGACATCACTAGGGGCTAGTAATACCTTGTTTCCTTATGAAGTTTCGTAGTAATACTCAGGACTTCAAACGGGAAATGGTAGGAAAAAAACGATGCTTTTATGATAAAAGGTGAATAATCACGATTAATATAAAGATATATAATATAAAAAACAAAGAACTTCTTCAGGGACTGCAATTGTAAATAAAATCAATACATAAAATTACAGCATGTAAAAAAACATCCTATTCCCCCCATCCCCAAGTCCCCTTTAAATAGGGCTAATCCCTACGTCCATTGGTGGTTCTGTGGGTCGTGTCAGTCATCCATCTCCTGATTGACCTCACAGGGGAACTGCTCAGCTGATTGTCATCCTCATTCCATCGCTGAAATCAAATTTGGCGCATCCAAGTAGTCGGAACCGGAAGTGTATGTTATTCCGTACTTCCGCGTTCCACTTTCGTTTTACTTCAATATTATTAAATGATCATAGAAATCAACATAGAGCAATATATTAAACATCTTCTAAAGGAAAAAAAAAACAATAGTAGTAACTTCATAACAATTACATTGTCTTATATTTTAGTGATTAATTTATATAGACCAATATTATTCATAATCTATATCCAGACTATGATATATAAGAGCCTAAGTTTTAAAGTGAAACATATATAAATAAGATTTAAGAATATATAATCTAATGTCTGAAAACCTTTTATTAATATTAGAAAATAGTGTACATATTCAAACTATATATCGTGAAATAATTCTCAATAGATGTTATTAAGTAATTAGTGCTAAGCAATGATATGAAATAATAAGCATATCAAATTATGTTCCTATTAACAATCTCCAATATTTGATGGAATTACACATATACCTAATGTCCTAGATAAGCAAAGAGGGACATATTAAATTATAATAAACACATGTATATATATATATATATATATATATATATATATATATATATATGTAGAGAATTTTTTTTTATTTAAGGGATCCATACACAATCCATAAAGAATCTGTAAAGCCCAAAATGAGCAGATTCCAAGAAATTCGAAATTTAATTGATATATATATCCTGTATAGATTAATAAATGTATATATATCTCTACAGTATCTCATGTATCAAAGTGAAGAATAATGAAAACCCAAATAATAAATAAGAGGCACATTATACATAATATTTCAACCACAGAGGTTATATAAATGCTAATCAAGAAAACAAACTAGGTCGATACCTATGTTAAGACCCCTTGGTTCTAGTGTTCTCAATTTGTGTATCCAAAAAGTTTCCATTTGTGATAATTTTTTGACCCTATCACCACCTCGCCAAAAAGGGAAAACCCTTTTGATACCCATATACATAAAATCCCTAAATGTAAAGAATGGAATATTAGAACAGTGGACTGGAACAGAATGAGTTGTCAATCTTTTCCTAATATTATTCAAATGTTTGAGTATTCTGACCTTCAAGATCCTTTTTGTTCGTCCCACATACTGTTTGCCACACGGACACTGCAGTCAATAAACTACATAGTCCGTGTGGCAGCTGATCTCAGATTTCACTTTGAATCTTTCTTCCGTAACATTGCTACAAAACTCCACAGTTCTTGGCGGAGATGTATTAGTACAGGCTTTACAAGATCCACAGCCCCTGAAATAACCCAAATCTGGAGGAGTATTGGTACTAGGATGTTTTATAGCGTAACTAGGAGCTAATAGATTCTTAAAATTCTTGTTCTTTTTATAGATAACCGTAGGGCGATCTGATAAAGACCTTCCCAAAACTGGGTCCTGTAGCAAAACATGAGTGCATCTATGTACAGCGCATGTTTAAGTGTAGAAACTGTACTTCACTATTTGTATATCTTTATGTTCCTTTTAGATTCATTTCCAGCCGTATCCCGGAGTTTTGTGTTTTTGGTTGTTTATATATGAAAAGGTCGTCTTCCTTGGGTAACGATCTTGGGAGGCTGTATTATAACTTTTAAGTTAAGTATTTATATATGTTCCACTACGGTTATTAACCATAGTAGTGTTGATATTGTACTATTTGTTTTTTACCCAGTTTTTTTACACATATACCCATTGTTTAATTGATAGATTATGGCCACCAATGTCAATTTCTTATCTAATTTACAATCCAATCGGAGAAGGAAATTTGAAGCCATGTTTCAAGAGTGGGATAAACCACAACCACTCAAGGGGTTAGACTAATTTTTTAAAAAGAACGAAAAATTACTAGCTGCCGAAACAAAAAAATGGTGGGAGGTAGCCTATCTAGAAAATTACCTCAAGGAAGGTCTTATACCAAGGGGTTTGAGGATAGATAAAACTCCAGCATTTGGACTGGAGGATGATCTTTTCCTACAAGAGTGGGGTGAAATTCTTACAAACTGTTCATTCCAACTAATACAACTAATTATTAAATATTCCAAAGATATGCAAAATAAGTTGGAAGTAGAATAAATTGATTTAGATACAAACCCTCCCCCAGAGTTTTGAAAGTAGAGAATTCAAAGAAAGAGAGGATATCCTTCAGAATAATATAAAGAGATTGGATGAAAAAATTGCAGAAACAAAAAATAGGAAGTATAGCAGGGATAGGGAGGATAAGTTATTAGAAACTTTTTCAACACGAAATAAAAGACTTAGAAGGAAATTACGTACCCCTCCCTTCAATAATAATAATAATAATAAAAAAATCAATCAACGATCTTCCTCTAATAGATTAAGAATCAACTCTCAGTCTAAGGCCATACGGAAGAACCACTTTAGATCCCATTATGATAAACCAAAAGACCATCAAGAGACATTCAATAGAGAGCCAGTTCACTCTCACTCATCTCAGAATAAAAATCCCGAGAGGACAAATGATTTAAGGTCCTATGCTCAGGTCACAAGAGATAGAACAGAGACCCAAGGAAACAATACACAATTTAATGATCAGGAAATAAATTTTCAGGGGAGACCCCGGGGTCCAAAGGAAAAAGCAATCACCAATTATTTCTGTCCCAGGATGGGAACTTGGGAACACCCCAATAGATTTTCCCATATGTATCAAAATTCCCCCACGAAAAGGGTGAGAACAGAGGATTAATTCAGTTATCACAGGTAACATATTCACTTTAATCTAACTGAGACTCCTTTGACAGATGAAGAGATTAGTCTATTGTCCAAGGGAATGAAGTTTGCTCCCAGTAAGACCTCTAATGACTTTAATTTCTTTATAGATCTAAAATAGGTTTATTCGTTCATTAACTATTAAGAGACATTTTCTCCTAAATGCGTCATCTTTAGATGACACTATGAATACTTTATCAACCTCCTCTAATTACAAATTCCAACCGAGGTCAAAAAATGTTCCTATACAAAGTAAGGGTCCATTTTTAGAAACATTTGAACATATGGTCAATCAAACGCTCCAATCTTTTAATATAAAAGATAAAAAAAGACCACAAACCTCTAACCTTACAAGGAGAGAAGAAATAATTTTTAAAAATCTAATGGAACGTGAGGATTTAATAATTAGGGAGGCAGATAAAGGGGGTGGCATAGTGTTGATGACCACCTCCTATTACCTAGAAGAATCAGCTAACATTCTGGGAGATAAGAACACATATATCACTCTTTCCAATGATCCTACTTCCCGTTTCAATTCGGAATTTAGGAGTCTTTTGGATTCTGCAAAAAATAATGGGATTATTACACAAAATAATTTTGATTTTTTATTTCAGAAGAACCCTGTTATCCCAATCTTTTATTTTCTCCCTAAAACACATAAACGTCTCCCTAACCCACCAGGTCGCCCTATTATTAGCGGAGTTAATTCATTAACTGCCAACTTATCCGCTTATGTTGATTCGTTTTTGCAAAAGTATGCACAGGGGGCACCCTCTTATGTTCGAGACACAAAATCCTTTTTACAGGAGTTGGAATGTATCGAGTGGAACTCAGAGTACAGTTGGGCTCACACTAGATGTGACCTCTCTGTACACCGTAAT